TTTTCCCCCACACTGCTTTTCCTTTTTTAAAAAAAAAAATATATATATATTTTTAATCTTCACCTGAGGATATGTTTTCCATTGCTTTACAGAGAGTGGAAGAGTGAGAGAGAGAAAAATACTGATGTGAGAGAGACACACTGACTGGTTGCCTCCCACATGTGCTCCCACCAGGGGCAGGAGTGAACCCGCAACCCACGTACGTGCCCCTGACTGGGAATTGAACCCTCTGGTCAACACTCTAACCACTGAACCACACCAACCAGGACTAAAAAAATTATGAATATACTCCTCCCTCTTTCCGACTACACATCTATGTGAGGTTGGACTTTTTTCATATTCTTCAACCAAAACAACAGATTGAATGCAGAAATAGATACGAGAATTCGCTCTCCTCTATTATGCCAGATATTCAAGAGAGTTGCAAAAATATAAAACAAGGCCACTCTTCTCACTAAATTTTTTTGAATAGTTAACTTTTCATTAAATATTTTATTCATGTTAACATGTAATAGGTTTAGTGTTACCTTTAAATGAATTAAATACAGTGGCACCTCGGTTTTCGAATGTCTCCATTGAACATTTTGGTTTAGGAACACCGTAAACCCGGGAGTAAATGCTTCAGTTTTCGAACATGCCTCGGAAGTCGAACATGCCACATGGCTTCTGCTGAGGGCAAGATCCTGAGGCCCAGCTGTCGGCTGTGGATCCCTTGGTTTTCCAACGTTTCACAACTCGAACGGGTTTCCCGAACGGGTTTCCAGAACAGACTACATTCGAAAACCGAGGTACCACTGTATTTTCATTTTTTCCAATATAAATTTTTATGAAGGTAAACATCAATAAATACAACTTACATAAACAAAAGCCCTTTGGGGTATTTGGTAATTTTTAAGAGCACCTAGAAGTCCTGTGACCAAAATGTTTGGGAATTGTGTGTTAGATGAAAGCAGAAAGAATAAAAAGACTTTTCGATAATTCAAATATGAAACAACTATGCAGGATAGCTAACAAAAGGTGTTTTTTTTAAAAAATATATCTTTATTGATTTCAGAGAGAGGAAAGGAGAGGGATAGAGAGATAGAAACATCAATGATGAGAGAGTCATTGATCGGCTGCCTCCTGCACGCCTCCAACTGGGGATTGATCGTGCAACCCGGGCATGTGCCCTGACTGGGAATTGAACCCCAACTGCCTGGATCCTAGGTCGATGCTCAACCGCTGAGCGATGCCTGGCCAGGCCGAAAGGTTTTATCGTAAATGGAAAATAGAATTAGGAACACTGAACTTTCTTTAAAAGACACAACTGCTTACGAGCGCAATCGTGATACACGTCATTAAAAACACACACACACAAAAACATTTGGAGACAGCCACAACAAAGGCTTGGGAGTTGAGGGGAAACAGGAATGGGTGTGCTCCACTTAGAAGATATAGTCGCTTCTATCCCACTTTTTTTTTTTTTAAAGCCCACCCCTTTTCTTTTAGGCTAATTTCATCACTATGAATAAGTATTAAAAACGTATTTCCATGCTTATGAGATGGTCCATACAACTGTGTTCACTGATCTGGTTAAAAACCCCAAAAAACCTATACAATACGTTCTCTGAAGCCTCTCTACACTGTTCTCTATTACAACACTCTTTGCACTGGAGAATTTTAACCTGACACTAAACAGTAATGACCTCACAGCTGCCCATCTTAAACATCCTAACCAAACGCCAATACCTTCAGCACCATTTAAAAAATGCAAGAGCCGAACAGAGACAGCATCTCCTTACCTACAAAGCACTCTTCACATCTATTCCCCTTTGAGCCTCTCAAGGAGCCAATGAAATAGGGAAAGCCAGCATCATCATTCCCACTTTACAGATGAGACCCAGAAAGGCTAACTTGATTGAAGTTCCTGGGCAAATAGAGACAGTACTATGGCTAGCAACAAGCCATCTGTCTCCTAACACATGGCCTCTTACTGTTAATAGGCTGCCTCAGAACAACTGTCACCTCAAATCCCTAGCCTTGTCTTTTCTACATGACAAAAGATTTCTAACCTTAAAAACAGGTCTATGCCATCTGATGGGGCAGAAATGTGTTGGGAAATAAAACAGAATAAAAGAGAGTTAGGAATCTTTGCCCTAATAGTTCCAAGAATTTTTTTTTAACTTGCTATTTCATCACAGAGACTAGGAACTATTTCTCTGCCTCATCAATCACCTCCTTATGAAAATATACTCATTATGCCAAATTCCATCATAACAGAATAATTTTCCAATCCCATCAAGTGTGTCATAATGGAAGAGGAACACCTGGGGCCACAAAGAAAGCTGTAAAGATTGCTTCATACATATTTACTCCCACTCATTTCTACAAGGTTCTGTGTATGTGTATGAAGAGACAAGAGAAGGGGGAACCTACAGAAAAGATAAGAGCAGGAAAGCAGCCCAGCTTCCCAGAAAATGAACAAAAAGCCTGAAGGAGGAAATTGCCTGGAGAGCACCCCAGATAAGGTGTCCAAAAGGTGGCACAGGTCTTGCTCACGATAAGGGACATATCTCACCCCTGCTTTATTTTTGTCTTCCTGCTGTTTCCCTTCAGACTCATTTTCTGGATCAAGGATCTCTGGAGATACTATAATGAACCCTATAAATCCTATTCCCAAAAAACTGAACACATACTCAAAATTGTGTCTCGTTTCAAGGCATCTTAGGTCTCTTGTGGCTCCCCTTGGAGGTTGATGACCTGTAGCAATGTTAGAACCCCTACTTTAGGGTCATAGTTCATGCATATTCCAGCACCAACTAACAACAAACCCCTCATTAAGAACAATCAAGTCTCCACAATCTGGGGGGGGGAAGGGCAGGTATGTTTTGTTTGGATTTTTGTCTCAAGAGTTAAGTGATGAAATACAGAGGGGAGAGATTTCCCTAGATGAGGCCAAGTCAAGGCTGCATGACCTCTGGGAAGGATGGTGTAAAGATATGAGTCCTGATGGTCAAACTAGCTGACCTAAAGGGTCCCTTCTAACCCAAGAGACTGAATCTGGAATGCTCTACACAATGACAGAAACTCCTTGGGGAAAGTCCACCCCCAGCAAGTGATTGCTCAAAGGCCAAAGACACCAACCCCCAGGAGAGGACCCAACTTGTAATACAACTGGTATCAGCCACTCCACATGGCGACTGTAACTACAGCCCACGGCGCCCAGATAGCAGCAGATAGGGGGAGAGAAGCTGTGGCGAGGAAAAGGCAGTACTGGGAGTTTCAAGTATGGGCTTGGAGACAGAAAGGCCATATATATACATCAGTCCTGCATAGCTCTGGAGCTTCTGTGAATGTGCACAGAACAGTCCATAGTCCTTCCTATATTGTACTTTAAGAACCTTAATTTCACAATCTGGAAGACATGCTTAAGTGGGAATTTCTAACTGCTCCTCTTACCTGACAGGATTTGGAGATAAAATTTCATTACCTCATCCTGAAGCCTCAAAAATAAATACTGGACACACTGGGCTGGGGGAGACCCATTGGTGGGGAGAAGTGGTCAGCTTCTAGGTATTTCCTTCAGGGGATCAGTGACACCAATAAAGGTCAGGGAAATGTGACTACTTGGTACTCAAGACATGAGGAAAGCAGGCAAGAGGCAGCACAGGAACAGGGTACAGTGAATCAGACCAGCACAGGAGAGACAGAGCAGGAATCCTCAAGTTCCAGCATTTGCCTTCAGCCTCCACAGATTTTGCCATTTGCAGGTCTCATCTGTACTACAACTTAATAGCTCTTTTTCAAAGACTTACCCTCATCCTAAGGATAAAGAGCTAATTATATTTTTCTCTAATATACATTGGAATAAGACATAAGTGCTAATGTAACAATGTTCTCCACATTCTATTTGAAATCACCTGGCATCACACAGAGGTCCAGGTGTCACACTTTGACACATGCTGGCAGCTGGAAGACCTGGGTGTGAAGTTTGGTCCTGATTCCAGCCTCATCTCTAGGCATGGCCTCTCTGGGAGTCACTGCTTCCCCATCTTACAGTGAAAGGGAACTAGATGAGCCCCACAGCTGCCCTGCCTGGCTCTGAGAGTCAAGGTTGGCAGATTTCTAGGTTGCTCTGGCAAAGGTACCCACTAAGGTGACTTGTTAGCAGGGTCCTAGAAATTTCTGTTTTCTGCTCTTTTGGAGGTAGCTACAGATGGGTAAAGGGGTAATGCATTTGGAAGCAAAGGAAGTTGGGTAGGAGATAGTCTAGTGTAGAAAGAAGAACATGAGATTTGAACCTCAAAAATATGGCATCTCCATTTAGCAGCAAAGTTTAAGTTTTTTCATTTATAAAATGAAGATAACCATGTCCTTTATCCTTAAATTTATACATTTGCTCCTCAACTTTCAATCAACATGAGTTTATAAAAATTCATACACTGACAATCCTAGATTACTCTTAAAGCCCCTTTCAGACTTGCACGCAAAAGCTGGGTGACAGTTGGGCTCTTGCCACTAGTTACTAGTTGGGTTTTGGTAATTTTGCAAGTGGAGGTATACTAGTTAAAATGTATTACCAGCTTTTTTTTTTTTTTTTTTTTTTTTAGTGGTAAATTTCTTTAATTGACACAAAGGATGAACATGGACAAAAGTACCTAAAGTGGCAGTTCTTAAAACTTGATCTGGGGTTCACTGGACTTGAAGCTGGTCAAATGTATGCAAAAATAGGAAAAAGAACAAAAGTGAAGAACGCTGGATGTGTAGGAGCCAAGACTATGTCTAAAAGGCAAAGTATAGTTAGGGAGTTTATATTACTTTTTAGGTTTTGGGGAACAGAATCCCTCCTTAGAATACATAAGTCTAGAGTCAAATTTACCACACTCAAGTTCCATATATTATCAGGAACACATTATGTTCAAAATGCAGCCTCATTTCATGAAAGACTGGAGGCAGCCTACAGAAAAATACATAGAAATTAACCTGGATAAGAGCAAATATAAATCAGAAGGCCAAAAACATAAGGTCTATGCATTTTATTGTATGTAAATGATATCTAAAACACACCTTAATTTCAATACAACACAAATAAACAAGAAAACCAGGGGGAAATGAGAACAAAAAATACAGAGGACAGGTCCTATCTTTATAAAGTTGAATTGAGCTTCCTGCCAGCCAAAGCTAAAAGGAAAACATGACCACTATCTGATTCTTGCTGCAGAGCCCTTACGTCTGAAAACAATTTCTCCTTAGGCACCTTCAATGAGGGACAGTATCCTTGTATGTACATGACAGCATGCCAGTATGTACATGAGCATGTTTACTAAGACAATCCCCAACTGTGTATCTCAATGTTAGCCTGACTGAACATTTTTGCAGCCGGAGGGGGTGGGCAGGCAATGTCGGTCAAATGAGCAGTTTGGAGGCTCAAATGAGACGAGAAAGAGCTCAGGAAACCATGAAGCATAGTGCAACTGTTCTGACACTAAGCTCTGGGTGCATGTAAGCTGGAGAGGCCTAGATGCTGAGACTTAGGCAAGGGGTTTGGAACTCACTTCCTAGTGTGACTCATCCAGCTAAACCAAAAGGGGCTCTGGCATCAGCCCTATCCCAATCCAGTTCATAAAGGCTTAGTTACAGGGGGTACTAACTGCAAAATAACAGCCAAGAGCATTCCTGGGCTCACCCACCGAGCTCCATGTGGCAGAGGCCACTAATTGGACCCCCACATCCATGTTCTCCTTCACCTTCTAGTCAAAGAACTGCCCGAGTTTTGACTAGGCACATGACTACCCACATAAGAGGCAATTATGTCCCAGTGTCCCTTTCAACAAAGAGTGGCCATCGTGGTTTGAGTAACCCTGGGTCATACCCTTTAAAAAAGAAACTGCTTTCTCTCTTTCCCCAGTGGAATGTGGACATGGAGCTAATGCGTCTGCTTTGACCTTGCAGGCAAGGACAAGCTAGGGGTGGCTGAACACCAAGATAAAAGAAACCAAATTCCTGATGACCTTGTAGAGTTAAACCTGCCCAGGACCATCTGACTATCTCTGTACTATTAGAAAAGAGAAAATTAAACTTCTACTAGGTTCTCTTTGTCATATTGGCTTAGCCTGTGTCTTAACATAATTCACAACAGAATGGAAAGCAGTTAGAGGGAGACAGGCTTCAAAGGACTCAGGCAAAAGTCAACTCACAATTCACACGAGCAAATAGGTACGAAAATGACACCCATAAAACCAGCTGGCTTCCTCCTCCTCCAGGAGAGGCGTAGGCACATCCTTGGAGTAGAGGGAGAGGCCTGTTACAGCACACCCCAACACAAATGCAGCCTGTCCACTGTGGCCTAGGCCATATCCACAAAAGCTGGAGATACAGACTACTTTCCCCACTGACACCAGGCAGGGACACCCCTGTCCTACCTTTTCCCCTACAGCAGGAGAGCTCCAAACTTCTCCACTCTTCATAATACCGTCCTTGAGGACAAGCCAAGTCCAGTAAGGCATGGGATGAAACAGCTGTCAGGGGACTGTGTGTGAGGGTCAGGGGAGGGGGCTCCAGAGCCCCAGGACAAAAGCCACAGCTGGGAACTGGAGAGGGAGAGCAATCTCCATGTCTGCCCTGGGTTTCTGGGGCACAGGGGCCTGAGGCTGCAGCACCTGCTCCTCCTGTGGAGTCCCCTGGTGACACAGCTCAGCCAGACAGCTGCCAGTCACTAGCGAATCCCAGCCACAGGCACCTGCTGCTGCTTGCGAATCTTGTTGAAGAGTTCCATGTATTGGACCATGGTATCTGCTGGGCCGTAGACTGTGTCGTGTCTGCTGCCAAACCCTGTGGGAGCCCCTGGTGTGTGGCTGCCTAGAAAACTCTGTAGGAATTCAAGCAGTAGGCTCCAGCAGTCACTAGCTACCACACAGGGGCCATACTCCACCTGAGACCAAAGGAACAGAGAATGGGGTGAGTGCAGGCAAGGATGAGGGTTTGTTTCCCTTGTACCTCTTACCCCTGCTACCATCTTCCCCAGCCCTGAGCCAAAGACACACACCTTCTAGCACAGTGTTGCTGCACAAGAAATATTCAACCCAAACACCAGGGATTTGACACACCACCATTATTCTCTCTAGGCATCTTTGACATTCTCATTGGAGTTATCAACGCCCAGCCCTGCCCGCAAGACCTGAGGGTAGATCTGGGCACCTCTGGATTATTTCAGAACTGTATAATCCCTACTATGCTGGGAAGATCCAAGGAGAGCTCAGGGAAATTCTGAGAAAATGAAGAGTGAGAGAAAGAATGAGAGTGTGAGTGTGTGTGTGTGTGTGTGTGTGTGTGTGTGTGTGTGTGTGTGCGCGTGCTGGGGGATCAGTAGAGAACAAAACGGACACATATACTCATACGTCTTCAAGACTAAACATTATTCCCTGGGCTCCAACCCTAAGAAATAATTTCCTGACCAAGGTAGCAGGGGCCAGAGGATACGTATCTTTGGCTTTCTCAGTCCTCTCTCTCAATCGGTCACTGGAGAGACAGCAGAGGCAAATCACTGGTAACAACCAGAGGGAGAAACAGCACAGAAACAGCTGGGGTATGTTTGTACTAAAGTTGGAAATGTGGAGGGTAAACAGTGGGTTCTCAGCAAATGCAAGGTGTGTCACAAGTTGAAAAGGGTCAGGAAATCTTGGCCCTCGAGTACCCTGGAGTTTCAGAGCAGTAATCTACTAATGCCCTTTTCTCCCCTGGGGCTACCTTTTAGGACTTAGATATCCCCATGTTTCCATATCTGAAGTCCCTCCTTAAATGCTGGTCCTGTAGGAGGCTCAGGAATCCCCAAGTCAGCAGTGCTCTCACTGGCCTGAAGTCCAGAGCAAGCTGTGCCTCTTTCACGGCATTTCTCATAGACTAACTTCAGAAACAGTTTGTGTTTCAGCCCTGCTCTCTTACTAAATCAAAAATTTGCAAGAGGCAGGCGCCATAGCTTCCATATATATATATATTTTTTTATCTCACACAGTGCTGGGCACATGGTAGATTGTATACTATCACTAGTACCAAAGCCAGCTACTTGTCACATTCCGTCATTTTCAATATATCCCTCAAAGATGAAGTCATCACATGTACCCCTTTCCACCATGAAAGGAAGTGGACACACGGCAAAAGGAAAGGCACATCTTTGCTATGTAACTTTTGATACCCATCTTAAAGCATTCTAAGGAGAGGTGTGTGGACCCACCTCCTGAAAGTTAACTGCACCGAAAGTTGTCCTGGTCTGCTCCAATCCTTCTTGTGAAGGGTGACTGGTCCCTCCACATAATTCACCTGCCTCCCTTGACTATCCCCCCTCCCCTTCTCCAGCAAGCCAGCCTTCCTAAGCTTTCTACCTGCTATGTACCCAGCTTCCAATTCCAGTCTGGGCTAGAGAGTCTCAAATGATTAAGGAAAGGGTAAAAGGTTCAGGAAGAGGGGACACAGGGATCAGGCAGGCATAAACTCCGGTTCGCAGTCAGAGGATGTGGAACTCTGCAGGGCCCTTTGCTGAGCAGCCCCTTTAGCACATCTTGCTCCTATTTCACCAAGGTCTTACCTCCACAGAGATGCCTCGGGCACTGGGCCCCATTGTGACCGTGCCCACCTTCACTAGGAAGTCACAATACTGGTAGCGGGTGCCCCGGGTCTCAATCTTGCTGGCCTTGGCACTCTGGAAGAAGCCCTTGAGCTTCACCATGAGCACATCAAAGTTGGTGTCGGCAACAAGACAAGGGCCATTCTCAAAGAGGGCGAAGCAGCTCAAAGGGTACTCTGAATTGTGCATCACATACATTAGCTTCCCGGTCTGACCTGCAGGGACAGAGATCCTACTCAGCACCAAAACCTTCATCAGCAAACACCAGAATAGAGGCAAATGCAGGAACAAGGCCAGACGGCCATCCGGCATTACCTCAGCAGGGAGCGGGGTAGGGGGATCCCCTTACCAACAGTCTTTTCTGAAGAACAGTACATGAGGCAGCACATGGTAAAAGCCACCCACTGTACAGAAAAAGGTGAGGGGCACACAGGGAACTTCACTAGTGTTGATAACAGTTGAATTCTTGAATGATGGGCTCACACATGGACGCTTAATGATGATGATTAGTCTCACAGACTTTACATACAGTCTTTCATATAATCCTGCATTACATAATAAGGAAAATGAAATAAAAGTAACAGCATTTATGCCAAATGAAGCAGTTGCTCTCTTTTGCCCACTCCTCCACTTTGAAATATAAGAAATGGCTCCAGAGACGCAGCAAAGGGGAATATCTGAGCATGAGGCTGGGAAGGTAGGCCAGAACCAAGATGGGCTAAGTTTTGTCTTCCCTGCCTCAAGAAGTCTGCATTCATTCTAAAGGCAATGGTGAAGTGTTGGACAATTTTAAGACATGAGCCGCCTTGAGAAGCTAGCAGTGCACTTACAGCAGAAAGAACTCAGCATCTGGAATCAAAAGATCTAGTTTCAAGCCCCAGCTCACACCTTCCAGTCTCTAAGAAATGAGTTTTCTCATTGATTACTATAGATTTTCTGCAAGAAGGCAGGGAAGCTACATATACATACATGTAAATAAACGTATTTGGTTAAGTGGAAAATGGAAGAAGGCAAAAATGGAAAGCAAGGTTCCTCTCTCATACAAGAGTTAGCAGATAGACTGCCACAATCTCAAGTACTTATTAAGTACTTAAGCTATTCCTAACACTGTCTTAGGGCTTAAGAAGCATACAAGTAGTCCATGGCCTCAAGAAGCTGACAATCTCACTAGAGAAAGGTGAAAAACTTTAGGACCTTTAGAATATAAAGAGAGGGTAGGATTCAGCCACATGGAGAAGGAAAGAAGATATTCTAAGCAGCGATGACACTGTAGCAATGGAAAAGAGAGGAGAAGGGGTTGAGGGGCTGGAGCCAGAGCCACTGTCACCTGTATTCACGCCTCCACTCTGCTGCTACTTGCTGAACACAACAGGTTCTGCACAAACCTCCCCACATACCACTCCTGAGTGCCTGTTGCCAGTCCATACCTTTCACCTCACCCTAAATCTACTTCAAACACTTTGACCCTCAAAAAGACATCCAAAGCTGATCTGTCATCCTGTTCTTGTGCAAACTCAGTGCAATCACATTCTTAATTCACATGAGTCTGCAGGTATTCTTACTGTCTTGAAAATATTTTGAAAGTCAACTAAGGTGTTTTTTTAATGAAGAAGGCACTCCCAGTTGTTTATAGACAATACTATTTTTAAAATCATGCCTGGCCAGCATGGCTCAGCGGTTGAGCACTGGCCTAGGATCCAGGCGATCAGGGTTCAATTCCCGGTCAGGGCACATGCCCGGGTTGCAGGCTTGATCCCCAGCAGGGGGCGTGCAGGAGGCAGCCAATCAATGACTCTCTCATCATTGATGTTTCTATCTCTCTCTCCTTCTCCTTTCCTCTCTCTGAAATCAGTAAAAAATAAAAAAATGAAAAAATAAACCACAAAAACTTTAAAAAAAATAAAAAAATAAAATCACAACAAAGTACTTTCTTACCTGCACAAATGTGTGAAACAAGCACAACCAGTATCACTGTCCCCCTTTTATAGATGAGGAAAAAAGAAGCTTATAGGTCCCAGGCCACCAGCAGCAGCAGCACCACCACTATGTGGGAGCTTGTTAGAAATGCAAATTTTCCGCCCCAACTCAGACCTACTGAGTCAGAAAGTCTGGGAGAGAGGCCCAGCGACCTGTGTTAACAAGTCCTCCAGGTGATGCTGACGCTGGTCCGTGTGAGAACTGTCGATCTAAATGCACAGAGCCAGCAAGCAGCAGAGCTGGAACTTGAATCCAGGCCTTCTGACCTCAAGTTTATTGCTCTTTTCATTCCACCCCACTGCTTGCCAAGAACGCTGCCTCCCCAACTAGATTGCAGCTCCTTGAAAATAAAAGTCTGATCAGGAGGAAAAGAGAGCCCACCAGGTGATTTCATAGAAGTAGTATATCTATATACATACAAGCGTTTTGTTTTCCAAATGGTTTCATAACCATTATATCTTTTGATTCTTACATGCTTCCTACTGAAGGAAAAACAATGGTTAAAACTGTAATTGTACAGATGATGAAACTCAGTACAGCTCTTAGCTACCACTCATTAAAGCTTTATTACATGACAACCTCATTTCTAGTGCTTGGCATGTATTAACTTGTTTAATTAGCACAGTAACACTAGGAGGTAAGTACTACACTTAACTTTACAAATGAGAGAACTGTATTGGGAAGAGTGCAGAAACAGAGCCCTCACCAGATAGTTTCATTAGAGGGGATATCATACAGGGAACAAAATCAGGGGATAGAAGAACTAAAGAAACAAATGGAATAATGGGGTCATACAAAGATTAGCAGCACAGAAGACATTACCATCCCTGAGCTGGGAAGGAAATAAGAGAGGATGTGCCGTTAGAGCCAGGAGCAAAGGCTGCCCAGCAGGAGCTAGAACCAAGGAGACACAGCCAGGGACACTGCCCAAAGCAGAAAGAGAGAAACTGTGGTCCCCCCTTTCTCCTGTCCCCAAGTCTTCCTTAATGCCTTTGCAGGGGAAGTTCAGGGAATGGATCTATGGAAAAATAGGAAAATTACCAGCATAGAAACAGTCACCGGTTGTGGAACTTACATAATGTTGAGGTTAGTATGTGACAGAGCCAGGACTCAGTTATCTGGTTCCATATCTAGACTCTTAATCACTGTGCTATGGAACTATCCAAGGTAAAGTTACTGTAGAACACAGGTTCCCTAACTCATATTCAAAGATCCTCTTTTACCATCACCACCACCACCATCCATAGACATCTCACCTCTTAGCACAGTTAAAACAAAAGTTGATTCATTGGTCAAGGTTATGCTACTGAGATAGCCAAGGCCAATGTCTGGGTGTGGGAAACAGAAAACCTTTCTGTAGAAAGTCCTAAAAACTCTAAAGCTCTATTAGAATTCTATACAAAGACTTCTGAGCTTAAAGAAGTCTTTCTCAAACTTTAGAGGGCATAAGAACATCTGGGGAGCTCATGAAAATGCAGATTATGAAGCCTGCAACACCAGTCCGTTGGTAAGCAGAGCCAAGAAACTGCACCTTTAACAAGTACCCCAGATGGTTTTGATGAAGTTAGTAACCAACCCTCTGAGAAACACTGCTTTAAAAGTCCCAGGTGCAAAAAGACTAAAACATGGGCCCAGTCTAAGAGATGAAGGACCAAGAATTAATGAATTCAGAAACACATCTGCCACATGTTCAAGAATATCACCCTTAGAAGAGCAGAAAGATTTCTTTTTTAAAAAATATGCTTTTATTGATTTTTGATTTTTTAGAGACAGAAGGGAGAAGGACAGAGAGAAAGAAACACTAGAAACATTGATGGCTGCCTCCTGCATGCCCCCTACTGGGGATTTAGCCTGAAACCTGGGCATGTGTCCTGACTGGGAATAGGCCAGTGGCCTCTTGGTTCATGGATCTATGCTCAACCACTGAGCCCCACCGGCCAGGCAAGCAGAAAGATTTCAATGAAAAGGAATGTCTACCAACTGCAAGCCAGGTTGCAGCCATCCTGCAGACCCATCTCACTAACCTTGGCTGCCAAGAGTAGAGGCAGCCGTGTGGTAGGTCTCACAGTCCACACAAAATGTTCCTTGCTTCTCTGCCCCAAGCAGCTCCAATTTCCGCGTAAGGAGCTCCACGGTCTGCTGGACACTCTTGCCCTCAGCCACAGGCATCTGGGACACACTGGAAGAGAGAGAACCACATCATCAGTATCCAGAGACACACATGCACTCGCTAAGCCACTCGACTGCCCACAAAAATCATAGCTCGTCAGGACCTTAGAGACCTACTGTGACACCCCCCCCCCCCCC